AGAGAGAGAGAGAGAGAGAGAGAGAGAGAGAGAGGGAGGGAAAGAGAGAGAGACAGACAGACAGACATAGGGTACCTGAATGGATACAAAAACATGACCCAACTGTTTGCTATCTACCAGACAGAGACCCACATTAGAACAAAAGACTCACACAGGATGAGAGTGAAGGGATGGGAAAAAAATTTCCATGCAAATGAAAAAGAAAAAAAGCTGGAGTAGCAATACTCATATCCAACAAAATAGACTTCAAAATGAAGGCCATCACAAGAGACAACAAGGTCACATAATACTAAAGGGATTGTTCCAACAAGAGGATATACTGGTAACCATGGTAAACATATATGCACCCAATATAGGCACGCCTAAATATATTAAAAAATTCTAGAGGAGCCGAAACCGGTTTGGCTCAGTGGATAGAGCGTCGGCCTGCGGACTGAAAGGTCCCTGGTTCGATTCCGGTCAAGGGCATGTACCTTGGTTGCGGGCACATCCCCAGTGGGGAGTGTGCAGGAAGCAGCTGATCGATGTTTCTCTCTCATCGATGTTTCTAACTCTCTATCTCTCTCCTTTCCTCTCTGTAAAAACTCAATAAAATATATTAAAAAAAAAAATTCTAGAGGACTTTATCAGAGAGATCGACAACAATACAGTCATAGTAGGGGACTTTAACACTCTACTAACTTCATTGGATAGATCTTCCAGTCAAAAAATTAAGGAGTCACTCTAAAGGACACACTGGATCAGATGGATTTAATTGACATTTATAGAACATTTCACTCCAAAGCTGTAGGATATACATTCTTCTCAAGTGCGCATGGATCATTCACAAAGATAGACCACATGTTAGGACACAAAACAGGTATCTGTAAGTTCAAAAAGATTGAAATCATATAAAGCATCTTCTCAGATCACAGTGGAATGAAATTAGAAATCAACTACAGTAAAAACACCCAAAAACATTCAAACACATGGAGGCTAAATAGCATGTTATTACACAATGAATGGGTTGCCAACAAGGTCAAGAAAGAAATCAAAAACTTCCTGGAAACAAATGAAAATGAACACACAACAACCTCAGATCTCTGGGACACAGCAAAAGCAGTCCTGTCAGCGAAGTTCATAGCACTACAGGCCTACCTCAAAAAACAATAAATATCAGCAATAAACTATTTAATCTTACAACTTAAAGAACTAGAACGAGAACAACAAGAAAATCCCAGAGTAAGTAGAAGATTAGAGCAGAAATAAATAACATAAAGACTTAAAAAAGAAAGAAAGAGCCCTAACCGGTTTGGCTCAGTGTATAGAGCATCGGCCTGCAGACTCAAGGGTTACAGGTTCGATTTCGGTCAAGGGCATGTACCTTGGTTTCGGGCACATCCTCAGTAGGGAGTGTGCAGGAGGCAGCTGATCGATGTTTCTAACTCTCTATCCCTCTCCCTTCCTCTCTGTAAAAAATCAATAAAACATATATTTAAAAAAAGAAAGAAAGAAATGAAACCAAGAGCTGGTTCTTTGACAGGATAAACAAGATTGATGAACCAGTTGCCAGACTCATCAAGAAACATAAATAAAATCAGAAACAAAAGCAGAGAAGTAACCACCGTCACCACAGAAATACAAAGGATTGTAAGAAAAGTCTATGAACAACTATATGCCAACAAGTGGACAATGTGGATGAAAAATACAATCTCCCAAAACTGAATCAGGAAGAATCAGAAAACCTGAATAGGCCAATAACAACTGAGGAAATAGAAGCAGTAATGAGAAAAACTCTCAGCAAATAAAAGCCTGGGTCCAGATGGCTTCGCAGGAGAGTTTTACCAAACATTCAAAGAAGAACTAACACCTATCTTCCACAAACTGTTCCAAAATTGCAAGAGGAAGGAACACTTCCAAGCTCTTTTTATGAGGCCAGCATCATCCTAATTCCAAAATCAGATAAAGATACTACAAAGAAAGAGAATTACAAGCCAATATCCCTGATGAACATAGATGCTAAAATCCTCAACAAAATATTAGCTAATCAGATCCAGCAATATATTAAAAAGATCATACACCATGACCAAGTGGGATTTATTCCAGGGTTGCAAGGCTGGTACGATATTTGTAAATCAATAAATGTGATACATCACATAAATTGAAAGACAAAAATCATATAATAGATGCAGAAAAAGCATTCAACAAAATCCAAAACCCACTTTTTATAAACACTCTCAGCAAAGTGGGAATAGAGGGAGCATATCTCAACATAATAAAGGCCATATATGACAAACCTACAGTGAACTCAATGGGCAAAAACTAAAACCATTTCCCCAAAGAACAGGAAAAAGGCAGGGATGTCTGCTTTCATCACTCCTATTCAACATAGTACTGGTAGTCCTAGCCACAGCAATCAGACAAGAAGAAGAAATAAAAGGCATCCAAATTGGAAAGGAGGAAGTAAAACTCATTATTCGCAGATGACATGATATTGTACATAGAAAACCCTAAAGACTCCATCAAAGAACTACTAGATTTAATAAATGAATTTGGCAGTGTAGCAGGATACAAAATCATCCCCTCAAAATCGATGGCTTTTTTATACACCAGTAATGAATTCTCAAAAAGAGAAACTAAAGCAATTCTATTTATCATTACAACAAAAAAATTAAAATACTTAGGAATAAACTTAACCAAGGAGCAAAAGACCTGTATTTGGAAAATTATAGTATGTTGAAAAAAGAGATAGAAGAAGATATAAACAAGTAGAAGAATATCATGTTCATGGATCGGTAGAATCAACATCATTAAAATGTCCATACTACCCAAGGCAATCTACAGATTTAGCACAATCCCTATTAAAATACCAATGGCATATTTCACAGAGCTAGGACAAATACTCCAAAGATTTATATGGAACCAAAACAGACCCCGAATAGCTGCACAATGTTGAGAAAGAAGAACACAATACCAGAGAAGTCACAATACCAGATTTCAAGTCATACTACAAAGCCACCGTCATCAAAACAGTCTGGTACTGGCACAAGAACAGGCATATAGATCAGTGGAACACAGCAAAGACCCCAGAAATCAACCCAAGCCATTACGCTCAATTAGTATTTGACAAAGGAGGCAAGAGCATACAAGAGAGTCTCTTCAATAAATGGTGCTGGGAACATTGGACAGATACATGCAAAAGAAACCAGACCACCAACCTACACCATACACAAGAATAAACTCAAAATGGATAAAGGACTAGAAGAAACCATAGGCAACAAAATCTCAGACATCTCTCGTAGCAATATGTTTACAGATACATCTCCTAGGGCAAAGGAAACTAAGTAGAACATAAACAAATGGGCCCACATCAAAATAAAAAGCTTCTGCACAGCAAAAGAAACCAACAAAACGAAAAGGGAGCTTGCTGTATGGGAGAACATATTTGGCAAAGATACATCTGACAAAGGGCTAATATAAAAAATATATAAGGAACTCATATAATTTAACAAACGGAAGACAAACATCCCAATTAAAAAATGGGCAAGGGACCTAAAGAGACACTTCTCCAAAGAGGACATACAGATGGCCTAGAGACATATGAAAAAATGCTCAAAGTCACTGATCATCCGAGAGATGCAAATCAAACAACAATGAGGTACCATCTCACACCTGTCAGAATAGCTACCATCAATAAATGACAAGTGCTGGTGAGGGTGTGGAGAAAAGGGAACCCTCTTACACTGCTGGTGGGAATGCAGGCTGGTGCAGCCATTATGGAAAACAGTATGGAGTTTCCTCAAAAAATATGGAACTGCCATTTGACCCAGTGATCCCACTTCTAGGAATATATCCTAAGAAACCTGAAACACCAATCAGAAAGAATCATATGTTCATAGCAGCACAATTTACAATGGCTAAGATCTGGAAACAGCCCAAGTGCCCATCAGTAGACGAGTTAATAAAAAAGCTGTGGTACATTTACAGCATGGAATACTATGCAGCAGTAAAAATGAAGAATCTCTTACCCTTTGAGACATCATGGAGGGGCCTGGAGAGTATCATGCTAAGTGAAATAAGTCAGAGAAAGACAAGTATCACATGATTGCACTCATATGTGGAATCTAACAAAATAAGCTGATGAACGGAGTGATCAGAGACATGGAAT